TGGGGTTTAAGGTTACGGGGCTGTGGGCCTGGGGGCTTCTCCAGTTGCAGGGTTTAGGATTGCAAGGTTTGGGCTTAATATAGGGGCCTCAATAATTACCTATTTTTGGGGTTCCTTATCATAATTATACTACAAAGGACCCCAAAACCAGATTCTAAGTATTAAGGCACCTACATTAGGGTGGTCATTCAGGATTCTGTGTTCAGGGCTTTGGGTTTCAAGGGCTTTCACGTAGAAGCCTCAGCAATTGCCAATACCATTATGCTACCATATACCACCCCAAACCCTTTTATTGAGGCCCCCATATAGGGGCTTCGGGTTGTAGGGTTTAGGTTTGTGAGGCTTTGGGTTTGCAGGTTCGCTTTGGGGCTCTGGTCTCAGGGTTTTTTTCAGATTTAGATGATGGTCTCGGAATTAGGATCAGTTCAACCTGCCCTAAACCCTAAACCCTAAACCCTTCTTCAGGGTGTTGAAACGAGTCTTAGATAGAGGCGCAGCTTCCCTTACTGGCCTGTGTGCCTATGTGGGAGTTTCCGAATTTTAGGGTATCCTATTTGGGGGTCCTTGTAATAAGGATCCTACTATTTAGGGTACTATATTAGGGTCCCCTATTTTCTGAAACCCCCATGTCGTTTGCATTTCGGCCTCAAAGGCGTTCTGAGAGGGGGACTGTAGGGCAAAGTATGTACAACATAGACGCATGGACCCTATGTAAGGTCCTACTTACTTATATAGTAGAATGTAGGGTTTCTGTATTGGGAGGTCCTGCTATGATTTAGGGAAGTATCCCGCATAGCAGTACACAGGACCCTTTGGCACCTTATGGTAAGTCCTTAGCAATGGACCTAGGACTTAAGACACTTGTCTTCTGGGCATCTGAACTGTACCAACAAGGCTGACACTCCTGCGCAGAAGAGATCTGGGGAGGAAGCGTCGAACTGGAAAGAGCGATTCGGCTGCCCTAAGCCCTAAACCCTAAACCCTAAACCCTAAGCCTCAAAGCCTAAACCTTAAACCCTAAACCCTAAACCTTAAACCCTAAACCCTGAACCCTAAACCCTAGACCTCAAAGCTTAAACCTTAAACCCTATACCCTGAACCCTAGACCCTAAACCTTAAACCCTAAACCCTAAACCTCAAAGCCTAAACCTTAAACCCTAAACCCTGAACCCAAAGCCTAAACCTTAAACCCTAAACCCTGAACCCTAGACCCTAAACCCTAAATCCGAAACCCAAAGTCTTAAACCCTAAAACCTGAACCCTAGACTCTAGACCCTAAACCCCTAAACCTCTCTTTTTCCACTCTCAGTCTCAGGCTTCTCTGAGAGTCCTGCGGGGCTTTACGGTGTTGGGGGTTGCTTGGAGGCCCAGGGGACTTAGTAAGTCGGTTATAAGTAGAGGTTTAGGGTTTAGGGTTTAGGGTTTAGGGTTTAGGGTTTAGGTTATAAGTACCCTAAATGGAGTTACCCCAATTATAACCCCTGCTTATAACCGACTTACTAAGTCCCCTGGGCCTATAAGTGGGGGCCGTGGACCTGCGCACAGAAGCGATTGAATCTGAAGGACGCGTATAGGGTTTAGGGTTAACTGAGAGAATATCAGGCTGCTCTAATGGGACTTCACCAATAGCTTGACCTGAACAGAGTCACATATTGGAATTCACAAAAGCTTGAAAGAAGACCACGGCCCACGAGTTCGAATTCCCCAATAGCTTGAGGGAAAACCAGGCTGCACAATTGGAATTCACGAAGAGCTTTAGAGAAGACTAAGCCCCACGACTTCGAATTCCCCATTAGCTTGAAAGATAACCAGGCTGCGCCAATTGGACTTCGCAAAAGCTTGGCCTGAACAAGGCCCTTGGCCGCACCTCCGACAAACAACAATTGTAGCGCGCAGCAGCCGTTTTACAGCCGTGACAGCGAGTGTTCGCTTTGTATTTTTTTATTGATCCTTTTTTATTTT